TCCAGGTCCTGGCTTAAGGCTTCATTGAATAACGGTGGGAGAGTTCTTGAAGCCCTGTGGTAGTCTAGTCCAGGTAAGCTGCCCTTTTCTTCCTCCCCCCCCGCCCCGGCTCTTGCCACTCAAAGGCAAACAAAGGCTGACTAACTTCAGAGAGTGGGATACTAAAGAAGGCGTCTTTCAGGTCCAGAGTAGTATACCACACATGCGTGGGTGGCAGGTGGCTGAGTAGGGTGTAAGGGTTGGGCACTGTAGGATGGATGTCTTTTACCCTCTCATTGACTTTCCGCAAATCCTGCACTGGTCTGTAATCTCTACTCATCTCTCTCAAAGCTCTGTGAGGAAATAAATGGCCTATGGCCTTCAAACTGCTTCCTGGATAGTGTGGATTTACTAGAAAAAAAGAAAAATTTTGGCCTATTTCTTCCTCTGTCTCTGGTGGGCCATTCTTTAACTACATGCTGTTATATAGTACATATTCTCTAAGATGATGTAGGCAGAAAAGTAGAAATGAGTGGGGTGGAGAGAGAATTCAGGCCAGTAGACCCACTAAAAGGGACTCAAAGTGTTAACCAGTCAACACTAGAGAGCCAGAAAAGACTCACAGAGTTAATATTAATCAGTTGATGCTCCAAAGGCCAGGAGCAACCGGGAATGTCCAAATATTCCCCAAATAAAGAAAAGCATCTGAGCACAGTCCATGTTGTCATTGTATCAATTAGATCATGCCATTTTAAGGTGTACTCTAGCCTGGTAAAAGGCCCAGCTTATTCTTTAACTTAACCTACATGGTGTTTTTTCCTCCCCCAGCCCCTAATCAAGTAGCCAGAGACAAGCATTCTGATTGATTTAGCAAACAAGCCCAGCTATAAACAGCATAGTAAAAACAGGAAAGGTTCCATCTTAAAACTAAGATTGTTTTTAAAACCCAGGAAATTAAGAAGTAAGATTCTTAACATATTATTTAGCAAACAATAACTCAGCCCACCTTGGGGGCAGGGAAGGCGGTCTTGATTGATATGTTCCCAGAGGGAGGCTGCTATTTTGGGGAGGAACTGGATCAGTAAATTTCTTGTGTTAAGCTAATTTTGCAGAATTACCTGGAGGACTGATAATAAAAGAGATGAAGTGTCTTTCATCAAAGATAACCATCATGAGACCACTTAAAAGTCCACATAGCCATTTGTCACATTCTTGAGAAATTCTTTTTTTTTCCCCCCTTTTAAAAAAATTTTTTTTTATTCAGGTATTATCTTAAAAATTCTTAAAAGGGGGAGCCCCCACCCTTTCAGGGTGCACCTCTCTCTAAGATCGCTCGCACTCTATAAGTGTGTAGCCTTAAATAAAACTTTCTCAACCTTTCAGGCGGGCCTCTCCTCTCTGAGGTTGCCCTCACTTTCTCTCTCTTTAAGTGCAGTGACTTAAATAAAGCTTTTACTCTGCTTCACTACTGTGTCTCTGCCCTTCAATTCTTAGTTGCAGCAGGGACAAGATCCGAGGAAAATAAACAAAGTCCCCCTAACAAGGAGGTAAAACATTTAATTTTCTCCATTGCAAAAAAGCTACATGGCTACTGTAGAAATACCAAGGGTCAAAAGGGTAAAAACAAAACTCACCTATAATCTTATCAGGTAATTACTTCTTAACCTTTTGCTGTACTTTCTTACAGTGTTTATAACCATACATGTATAAATTATATATACTTTACAAAAATAGAATGATATTCTTTTGTAAACTTAAAAGAACTTAATATTTAGTAACCTTTTCATGTCACGAAATTATTCCCTTCAATACAATTTGTAATGTTGGTATAGCATTCTTGCCCTGTTGTATATATATATTAGTCACATACCTAGCTCATCTAAAATGTTGCATTCTTTTTATACATGAGGATCTAGGAATTAAAATCACTTTTCTTTTCTGAAATAGGTATAAATATTGTCCAAGGGGACCCACAGCCTACACTAATGTCCAGCATATCATATTCCCTCTTGATCTCTGGTTGAGTGACCAGTGGTAAATAGGTAAATAAACCAGGTGCTTGTGTGTGTGTGTGTGTGTGTGTGTGATGATTCAGGTTGTACACATTGCACAGAACTTGTCATGCTGGAAGAGTTGCATAAAGGCTAAATGACCTTCAGTCCAGCCGGCCTTCTCTTATTTCTACCTCAGTATCAGGCCGTCCCAGGGGAAGTTTTGCTTATATGCCTTTTGTTATCAATATACTTTAATCTCATCCTTGTACCAAGCCCACAAAGGTATGCTAATGAGAACTCAACTCTCCTAGACATGACTGTGAAAATCTCTCCTCAGTAGGTTTCAGAAAGTGCTGAGAAGTCTTAGCCACCAGCAAGGGGAAAGGAAACAAGATTCTGAACCTTCATTTGCTCTCCAGCAATGCAAAAATCCTTTTGAGTGGTTGAACCAGGTAAGAATATCTGTGTTTTCCCTGAGAAGGGGGTTCTTTAATCATTCAATTGTCTGAGAGATCTTGATGAAATGCTAAAGCTTCATTCCTTGCTCTTAGCTTTGGAAACCCGTTTTGCCAAATTACTACTTCTCACTCTCACAGTCTTGAAAAACAGACACCTAAATAAAGATGTGGCAAGTGACTCGCTATTGTTTCATGAGAGCCTCATTGTTTAACTTGTAGCATTATGCTAGGTTAAGTGGTAACCATGAGGAAATGTACAACTTCAAGTTCTCATCATTGGCTCAGCCCTCCAAGGTGCATTTGCACTCTGAAGGCAGACAAGACTTTTGCTTAAACATTTAAATTCATATTTTACTCATCAATGAAAAATAAATAGTGCTCACTCTTTACCAAAGGACAGTAATATGCTGATAGTAATTCTTGTAACAGAGTGGTTAAACTCTCGAGGAACATGATTGAAATCCGAGTAAGAACTGGAAACTAATGTTAAATCCAGCGCTGTTGTTGAGTTGTGTAGGAGGCCAGTGGTGATCAGTTCAGCAGAACAAAACTAGCTAAAAAAAAGTATGATTTTGAACCTTGTCTGTTCGTTACACTGGCTCCTCCCATGTGACCACTTTGGTATCTACAATCTGCATGTAGATGCTCTGGGGTTGGGAGGCCCAGCTGTCAATCACCCATTTTTAATTGTCTTTGTGCAGAAGCCATCACAGCTCAAAGGAAGGCTTGTAGAAATCAAAGCTTTCAACAAGAACAAGGTAAAGTGGGTTTGAAGTTTGCTACAGAAACTGCACCCAATGACTGGAAAACCTCTGTGGGTTACCAAAGTTTCGGAGGCATGTCTCAGATGTGTTTCCTGACTCCTGGAGCCTGAGAGCGGAAGTTGGGGCTAAGATACAGAACGAATTCATTTGCCTTAAATTTGAAATTGGCCCTGCTAGAGGTGTGAAGGCGATCCTGGTGATGATCAACTGGTGAGGAAAGCCTGCCGGTAGCCAGGAAATTTGGGGAGATGTTCCAGTGTCTGTGTCCACTCTCAGTTCAGCCCTACATCAGAATTATTTGCTGTTAGATTGTTTTTTAACTTTTAGTCCAGGGATTGCAAAATAAAATAACTACAAAGACCAGGTAGTGACTTAGGTAAGATCCACTGGGAAGGGGTTGTGGCAGTTTAGAGAATGTATGCCCTATCTAAAGGGAACAGCAACTGCTAAGTCTTATGAAATTCTTAGCACATGGGAATGCTCATTGACTATTGCCATATTTTATGAAATATCTTGAAGTAAAAGAAGTTTCAGATTTGTAAATCTGGACTCTATTTTTACAGATAAACTGTGAGTTCTTTCATCTTGTCAAGTCAAATTAAAAAAAAATTGGGCCATGAGAAACACATCCGTTTATTGACAATTTGCAACTTTTGGGGTAGCAGTATCTTACATATTACCCATTTTGGTGGCAGGTCTTGGGACCCTGATCCCATCTCACTGATTTGGCTTCCGAAAGCATAAGTTAGGAAAGTGGGCTCTGAAGTTTCTACCTGTGATTCTAATAATCTTTTAATACTAGCCTCATATAAACTCCCTTTAATTGAGGATATTGAAGAGCACAGAGTCCTTACCATTTTGTAACCAAATGATAAATGCTAACATTGTGAGAACTAATTATATTCCATGGAACAAAAGAATTATTGCACCATCTCATTTTATAAGAACTCTGTGAGATAAGTGCTAAAATTATTATTATCATCATATCCCTATTCATAGATGGGGGAACTGAGGCTCAGTGTTGGGGAGGATTTCTCAAGGTCACCCAGTAAGTGACAGAAGGGAGATTTGAACTCTGGAGTCAGACTTCAGAATCCACTTTTTAATCACCATATTATACTTTCTCCTGCTACATGATATGGATTTTTAGCCTCTATAATCTGTTTTGGTGATGATAAAGATCTTAAGGAATCTATAAGGACATTTTCTGTTTTTGTAAAACATGGGCATTATCTTTTTCCTCATCCTTCGATACACGGTTTGCAAAATGTGTAGGATCCTTTTGATCACAGAAGAGGGCAGTTTTGCTAATGCCTGGCTTGAAATCAGAGATGCTAACTTCCTTTTCTATGCCATTTTCTCATCACGTAGTTATTGAAGTTAGAAGATAGAGTTTAAAGGCAAAAGTTGTGTGTTTCACCTCCTGTAGGTAAGATAATTTTGCTTAGTCCATAACAGAGTACAACCCTAACTCCATCCAGCCGTCTTACAAGTACAGGCAGTGTGGGTACATCAATCATCTCTGTTGACAGAAGTGCTCCGACCTAGACCTATGTACAAACAACATCATCATCATAAATGAAAGCAGTAGGATGTAACCAAGGAATACAAATAGATTTTAGCTGAGTTGCTAATGCCAAATGATGGGTGGTGGCCTTCAGGATGACAACTGTGCTGAGAAAGATGTGGAAACCCCATCTTAGCTTACCCGAGAGGGCTGTAGTTGATTGGTCTTGTCTGCCACAGGCTTGGGACATGGAACTAGTGCCTTGTGGGCTCGGCCTTCCATCTGTGGTATAATTTACTCATGTGAAAGAGCTGGGACATCTTAACCTTGAGCAGCTCAGAGCATATGCATTTTAATTTGTAGTCCTGTCTTTTTCTGCCTCTTCCATATTTCTTCTTCCATTTCTAACTTTCCTCAGGAGAAATGGCTAAACGTACCTTTTCCACGTTGGAGATATTCCTGATTTTCCTCCTTGTGTTGATGACTGCCATCACAGTGGCCCTTCTCAGCCTCTTGTTTATCACCAGTGGGACCATTGAGAATCACAAAGGCAAGTGTCTTGGGCTGTCTTGATGCTATTCCCAGCCTGCAGGAAATTTCTTAATTACTGGGTATGCTAAGGCAAGAAACTGTGTTTGCTGATAGTGCTGAAAATAGTTCAATGTGTACTTAAGCAGCCTGGGGTGGCCATCAACTTTTACATTAATTGCCCTTTCGGCATTGATAGCAATTTTTATCATGTTTACCTTTGCCCCCGCATAGCCATTTGACAGGCATTCTGACATACACTTACTTGTCTCTCAGTTTTCCACTGATCTAAGCACAGTTCAGGATTCCTCAAGGCCCAGTAATGAGAGCTTCTGCCTTAGCCTCTTTCTGGGCATCATCATCTCCTGGAGGCATGAAGAGAATGAAAGACCCACTGATCATCAACTAGCCTGCACAAAGCTTCAAAGAAGGGAGTTTTGAACTCAAGTCCTTCCAAGGGCCAATCAAGTTCTGTAAATAAGATGTAGTGGGGAGGCGGTGAAGGGGGTCTGCAGCCCCTTCTGAGGGCAAGTCATTTGTAGTCATGGTGTCAAATGGACTCAGATCTTCTAAGTTTATAAGAGAAGCTGGGAATTGGGGAATTTAGGCATTTTCTGATTTTGTTTTGATACTGGCAATTAATTTAGCTCTTGAAAACTATCTAGGCTACATTTACAGGCAATATTGGACCCATGGTCTCTGATGGAGCCTCTACTTTGGTAGATGGGTTACACACCTGATACCCGAGAAGGCAGGTGGGGATTGAATGATTTAATCAAAGTAAAGGGAAGAACTGGCCTCTGGCCAAATGGAGAAGGTGTTTTACACCTCAGTTTTTTCTGTGGCCTTTTCTCTTTTCCAGTGTATTCTCTACCATGTTCCTGTGCTTTCCATTTCCTGCGAACACAGAGGAAGAGATCCTCTGTGCCAGCAGAGGGCAAAGCAGGATCTTGGGCTGCTGGCAATGAAAGGAACTGTAGGACTGACTGACTTAGTTTTAGTTCTTAAAAATAGAGAATTTGGAGGCTGAGACTCAGGTTGGTTATCAATAATTGTAATGCTTATTTTCATAGTAGAAGTTGCTGTTTATTGAATAGTTACTTTGTGTCAAGCATATTTTTCTCATTTAATTCTCACAAAAGTTCTGTAAAGGTAGATGCTAGCCTTGGCACCATTTTGCAAATGGGGAACCCGAGACCCTGCGATCACAGACAACTTGCCCTTGGTTATGTGACCAGGTTGGGCTTTGATTGTCCTCTGCTGGTATAAACGAGGTCATAACAAAGGTGCTGCTTCCCTGTGGTGTTTAATGTTCTATAGAAAATGTGGGTGTGAGGATGAGACAACATGAATTCTAATAATGGTTAGTTAGAATGTGGATGGAATAGCATCCGACTTGAGTTGGAGGATCTGGGCTGGGCTTTGATTAATCGTAAGCTCTCCCTGAAATCTCAGTGAAATCATGGGTCTGGATTTCAGTTTTCTTACATATAAAACTGCAGAGAGTGGACTAGGTGATCTCCAAGTTTTCTTGAGCTCCAAAATTCTAGGATCCCAGAAAGAGTTGGCTGTCCATCTCTTGCCAAGTACTTTGTGACACTCAAATGCTTTGTGATATTGACATTGTTGCCTGGGTGCATCCTGGGTGTTGTTTGGGATAGAAACAAACACATACGTGGAGTATGTGAGATAATCTAAATATGTAAATAAAAGCAAAGTTATATGCCAGTCATCGTTCTAAATTTTTAATATATAGTAACATATTTATTGTTTAAAACAACCAACCCTAGGAAGTAGTGTATTATTATTATCTCCATTTTATGAATGAAAAAAATTGTGATGAAATAGGTTAAGTAATTTGTTCAGCCAACAAGTGGGAGAGTCAGTTTTCAAACGCAGGCTGTTTATTTCTGGCACCTGTCCTCTTAGACTTTCTTTATGCCATTCCACTTTCCTTGATATTTCCTTGTGTGTGTATATGTTTGTGTGTGAGAGAGAGATATTAATGTAGAATATATGTGGGTATATACACATACATATGTGGTGAAAGGAGAATAATTAAAATAAGGTGGAACTATGTCAACAAGTATACAATGATCTAGGTTACATCAAGAATGAAAGTCTTTAGAAGGTTGAGGAGGATCTGAGCAGGGCAGAGAGAGCGGGCGTGGCACCCTGCAGATGAGGATTCGAGCTGGATCTGGGTGTGATGGGAATGAAGAACCTCTGAAGGGGCTGTGGAGATTGATGGTGGAATGGAAAGGAGTGAGGTCTCTGGATGGAGAGGGTGATAGAAACAAGTCTCCAGAGGCTGGCTTTAGTAGGTTGTGTGCCAGGAACCCGCCACTAAGTCAGGAGAGATTGAGGGACATTTAACGGAGGCCTTGAATATTAGGCTGAATCATCTTCAATTCAAGAAAAAGATCTTCCTTAGGATTATGACAGAAAACAGTTTCCTGAGATGGTTCTCACCACATGAATATCTTCTATATGGTTCTCAGCATATATATAAATATGTGTGTGTGTGTGTGTGTGTCCTAAATATAAGAGAACGTAGAAAAATTTTTCCTGAACCTTTGGGTTCTAATTGATGATGGCAAATAAGTGGACTGATACGTTGTTTCTTAAATATCTTATTCTGGTTTTAGATTTAGGTTCTCCAGCCACACAGAGCCCTCCAGCCCCTCCGGGCTCCATAGCCCCTCCGGCCCCTCCAGGTTCCACAGCCCCTCAAGGCTCCACACGCACCCAGGGCTCTACAACCACCCAGTCGTCTCCAGCGACCACCACACCACAGCCTCCCCTGTTCCAGAACTTCAGTGGCTACCATATCGGAGCTGGGCGAGCTGACTGCACGGGACAAGTAGCTGACATCAGTTTGGTAGGTCTGTCACTTGCTCTTCAAGGAGACTGTGAAAGCAGTAATTTTGTGATTTTTCATCCTTCATTTATTATCATCACCTTCTCACTTCTCCGTTGACCTCACTGCTGCATGACACAGTGAATATTGTACTCTAAAGGAGAGGGGTCCTTTCATTCAACCACAGCCCTCTTGTAAAGACAGTTGGCCATTTTTTACGAATGGAAGTGGCAGGACTGGCAAACTCAAATACTACAGGGAATGGGCAGGTACCATAAATGACCAAAGCGTGCCAGTGCAAGGTGATTAGTGTCTACTGAATCCTCAGTATGAGGGGCACTGCTAAGTTGTGGGCACGATGGCACAAGTAGTAAGTGTATGGCTTCAGCTGATTTGTTGCCATGTAAGGATATGAACTGAGGGCTGCCCTATCTTTGCAGTTTTTTTCAAGAGAAGCCAGGAAATCTCTGTATTGAAGATCTGAGGATTTATTGTTATTTTTTTTCATATTTTTTAATATGTTTGATATACAATATTATATTGGTTTCAGGTATATAACATAGTGGTTCAACAGTTATATACATTATTAAATGCTCACCCCAACTAATTACTATCTGTCACCATAGAAAGATGTCACAGAACTATTGACTATTGATGTTACAGAAGTATATTCTCTATGCTGCACTTCCATCCCCATGACCAACTTATTTTATGATTGAGATTTTGTGCCTTTTTATGCCCTTCACCTATTTCATCCACCAACCCACCCCCACCCCCATGGTAACTACCAGTCACTTCTCAGTGTCTATGAGCCTATTGCTATTTTGTTCATTTTGTTCTTTTTTGTTTTTATATTCCACAAAGTGAAATCATATGGTATTTGTTTTTCTCCGCCTGGCTTATTTCACTCAGCAGAATACCCTCTAGGTCAATCCATGTTGTTGCAAATGGCAGTATTTCTTTCTTTCTTTTGTCTGAATAATATTTCATTTTGTATATGTACCACATCTTCTTTATCCATTCACTACTGATGAACACTTTGGTTGTTTCCATATCTTGGCTATTATAAGTAATGCAGCAATAAAGATAGGGGTGCCTATATCTTTTCAAATCAGAGATTGTGTTTTCCTCAGGTAAATTCCTAGAAGTGAAATGACTCGGTTGTATGGTATCTCTATTTTCAGTTTTTTGAAGATGCTCCATACTTCTTTTCACAGTGGCTGTAACACTTTACATTCCCACCCATAGTGTAAGAGGGTTCTCTTTTTTATCAACACTTGTTACTTTTCTTCTCTTTTGGGTAGTAGCCATTCTGACTGATATAAGGTAATACCTCATTGTGGTTTTGATTCACATTTCCCTGATAATTAGTGAAGTGGAGCATGTTTTCATGTGCCTGTTGGCCATCTGAATTTCTTCTTTGGAAAAATGTCTGTTTAGGTCCTCTGCCCATTTTTTAATTGAATTGGGTTATTTGGATTTTTGGTATTGTGTTATACGAGGTCTTCATATATTTTGGATGTTAATCCCTTATCAGATATATCATTTGCAACTATAGTGTCCTTCCATACTGCAGGTTGCCTTTTTGTTTTGTTGATGGTGTCCTTTGCTGTACAGAGCTTTTTAGTTTGATGTAGTCCCACTTGTTAATTTTTGCTTTTGTTTCCCTTGCCCAGAAAGACATGTCCAGAAAAAAATTGCTCATATTTATGTTCAAGAGATTTTTGCCTATGTTTTCTTTAAAGAGTTGTATGGTTTCATGTCATATATTTAGGTTTTTGATCCATTTAGTTTACTTTAGTGTATGGTGTTAGGGAGAAATTCAGTTTCATTCTCTTGCATGTGGCTGTCCAGTTTTCCCAACACCATTTTTTTGAAGAGACTGTCTTTTCCCCATTGTATATTCTTTTGTCATATATTAATTGACCTTGTAAGTGTGGGTTTATTTCTGGGCTGCCTATTCTGTTCCATTGATCTGTGTGCCTGTTCTTGTGCTGGTACCATACTGTTTTTATTACTGTAGCTTTGTAGTATAGCTTGAAGTCAGGAAGTGTGGTACCCAAGCTTTGTTCTTATTTCTCAAGATTGCTTTGACTATTCAGGGTCTTTTGTGGTTCCATGTAAATTTTGCTCTAGTTCATTGGAAAATGCCATTGGTATTTTGATGGGGATTGCACTGAATCTGTAAATTGCTTTGGGCTGGATGGCCATTTTGACAATATTAATTCTTCTTATCCATGATAATGGGATAAATTTTCATTTATTTGTGTCTTCTTCCATTTCTTTTGTGAGAGTCTTACAGTTTTCAGAGTACAGGTTTTTCACCTCTTGGTTTGATTTATTTCCAAGTATGTTATTCTTTTTTGATGCAACTATAAATGGAATTGTTTCCTTGATTTCTTCTTCTGCTAGTTCCTTTTTAGTATATAAAATTGCAACAGGTTTCTGTATATTGACTTTGCAAACTACAACTTTGCTGAATCTAGTTATTAGTTCTAATAGTAGTTTGGGGGGAGTCTTTAGTGTTTTCTATGTACAGTATCATGTCATCTGCAAATAGTGACAGTTTTACTTCCTCTTTACCAATTTAGATGCCTTTTATCTATTTTTCTTGTGTTATTGTTGTAGCTAGGACCTCCAGTACTATGTTGAATAAAAGTGGTATGAGTGGGTATCCTGGTCTGGTTCCTCATTTTAGAGGAAAAGCTTTTAGCTTTTCATCATTGAGTATGATATTAGCTGTGGGTTTGTTGTATATGTCCTTTATTATGTTGAGATATGTTCCCTCTATACCCGTTTTGTTGAGAGGTTTTATCATGAATGAATGTTGAATATTGTTAAATGCTTTTTCAGCATCTATTGAGATGATCATGTGGTTTTTATTCTCCCTTTTGTTAATGTGGTGTTTCACATTGATTGATTTACAAATATTAAACCTTCCTTGCACCAATGGAATAAACTCCACTTGGTTGTGATGGGTGAACCTTTTGATGTATTTTTGTTCAGTTAATATTTTGTCGAGGAAGGATCTGAGGATGTATATCACTCAATTGGAAAATGTAGTCAGGTCTACTTAAAACCAGGAACCTGGTGTGGACCAACACTGTGTATGCCAAGTAAAGCACTTGTATGGGTCAGGTGTGGCCTTTTGGCTGCCTGTGTGCAACTTCTTGGCTGTGATGTTGGAAATATCTATCCATTTACATCAACCCTTCCCTAGGAAACCAGAGCATGAGTTTGTCTAATGGGATTTTCTCCCTTCCTTTATAAGTAATTATTAGATTCTATGAATTATTTTTTGCTGTCTGGTTAGAAAAGTGACTCTGGAATGTGAACTCAAAATGAACTCTTACGTGAGGGGTAAAACAAGTGCTACAGAGAGTATTCTGAGGATCTGGGTATAGCTTTTATGGGTAGGTTTTATGGCATGGTGGGACAGAAGGCTGGGAATATTTTATCCAATTTAGCTGAGAGAGGGATAGCATGGTAGAAGCCAGGGTGAGATATGCTCAGTAAGGATTACTTAATCATAAGGAAACCATTTTCTTCAGAACAAAAGGAAACTCACACACAAAATAACCAAAGTGAGGGAACTGTCAGTCTTCAGGATATTCCTGGAAATGTGAGATGATGATAGGGGAACTATTTCCTTTTGTAGTACCTGAGACAGTCAGGAAAAAAGGTTCTGTTTGAAAAACAGAAAAGCTCTGAAAGGTCCCCAGGATAGTAACAGAATTCCTGAGCCACCCCAGCCCAGGCTAGTGAACAGCTTCTGCCAACTCAATTGTTACTTTGCCTTTACAGTCTTCTACACAAAAGAGTAAATCCTCTTTCATGTTGGTTTTATTCTTGAAAACACACGTATTATCTCAGAACCACAGTGTCATGTGGATTGTTTTTCTTTGCCTTTCCTAAATAGTCTACGCTTGTATGGCTTAGCCTGGTTTCTGGCAGCAGGAGAGTGAGACGGAGTGACTCTGATTCTCTCTTCTTCTTTAGATGGGCTACGGCAAAGTTGGCCAGAATGCACGGGGCATCCTCACAAGGCTGTACAGTCGTGCTTTTGCCATCATGGAACCTGATGGGTCAAATCGAATGGTGTTTGTCAGCATTGACATAGGCATGGTATCCCAACGACTCAGGCTGGAGGTAGGTGATGAATCTAAGAAAGAAATTACATGATATAAAAGGAAAATATGGTTTAAGAGTGGGTAAATATGAAAGGACCTAAGCTCCCCTAGTCTCTCATCCTGTGAGTCCTACTACTCTCAACATTATAAGCTCTTGATGATCCAGCAAACTATTTTACAAGGAGAATGAGCCTCATTATTCCATTCTAAGTCATTTTGGTAAAAACTTGCTTTCAGTTCTGCTAATAGCTCATAATCATTATCAGTGCTAATGTTTTTTGAAAGCCTATTATGTTCAGGTGACCTTAACATACATTCTCTCATTGAATCTTCTTTGTTAGAAGTCTGAGAGCACCGATTAACCACTAACCCTTCCCTCAGTTTTTTAGACAATTAAGAACAGATGCAAGGAAGCAGATGAGATTAAAATACAACACTGAAATGAGGTTGGCCATCCATTGTTGAAGTGGAGTGGTTGACACGTGAAGATTTCATTACTATTCTGATTATTTTTGTATGTGTTTGAAAATGTCCATAATAAAATTTAAAAAGAATACAATATCTTAATCTTTAAACTATATCATAATATATGTCAGGCTCATCTATGATTTTCTCCAAATTTGGACTGTGTTACCCACCTGTAGGGAAAGTTGAGCTTAGCAGGAAGTGTGTGTAGGTCCTACATAGGCAGCCAGGGAGTAAGAGGGGTAGGGAGAGAGGAAAATAGAGTGAAAGAGATGAACTTCCAGGTGTCTCTCTTTAAGCCAGTTTCTAGGCCCTGACCCAGTTAATTTTTGCATGGGATCAGTTCACAGAAAGAGAACGTGCCCTCTTAATGTCTGCTCACATATTCACAGATGTGAGAAAGAGGAGAACCTGGAGAACCAAGAACAATGGCCATTAAATGTCTGTCATTCAGGGTATATTCTCTCAATCTCACCTGTTAAACACTTTGCTCCTCCTGCTGTGGGAAGGAGCCAGAGAGAAGGATGAGGAGAGGGTCTATAAGCATTTCTCCAATGTCACTCCCTCTTGGGGAGTAGAATTGAAACCTCTCCTTTTTGGAAACATAAGGAGCAGGGGATTAAGGGTTCCCCCTTACACACTTACAACAAAACTGTGAGGTGGGTCTGTTGTTATCTCCATTTTATGGATAAGGTAACTGAGTCTTAGAGAAGGTAAGTAACTTTCCCAACTTCCCTAATATAGGAAATAGCAGAGCTGGGTTCTGAATACATGTATTCCTGATACCAGAGCCCACATTCTTAAAGTGATGTTATTCTATTACCTTGGAGGAAAGAAAAATCCATTGACCCTACTTTTTGCAAGGTACTTGGCCAGTCACTTTAGGACGTACACACTAAGTGAGTCATAATCCATGTGCCCTGTGAGCTCTGTACCTGGTTGGGGGTTAGGAGGAAGGGCTGTATCAGAAATACACAAATAGCTTTAATTCACTGGGCTAAAGCACGGTGGCGTATTAGTTATCTATCACTGTGCCTTAAATATAGTGACTTTTAAAAACCAACATTCATTATCTCACGTATTCTGTGGGTCATGAATTCAGCACTGGTTTAACTATGTGGTTCTGATTCAAGTACCTTGAAATCAAGATGTTGGCAAAGGCTGCAGTCATCTGAGCACTTGACTGGGGCTCGAGGAGCCACTTCCAAGCTGAGTCACTCGTGGCTGTTGGCAGAAGCCCTCAGCTCCCCACCCCCTATATCCTCAGGACAGAGTAGCGGCTCCCCTCAGTGAATACCTCAGGATGAAGAGCAGGGAAAAAGGGTCAGAAGTTACACACCGTCACTCTCACCCTGTTCTATTCATTAGTAGCAAGTCACTGAGTCCAGTTCAGATGCAGGGGTAGGAAAGTTAAGCTTTAGCCTCTTAAAAGGAGATCTATCAAAGAATTTGTGACCATATAGTATTTTAAAACCACCACAATGGAATTCAGGAAATGGAAATTAGGGAAAAATATTTCACAGTGGATGTGACACTTGAATGGGCAAAATTTTAAATGCTCAACATGGGAAGGAGAGATATCAGAAGAAGAGGACAATATGACTATAAGGAGACACAGGCAAGGAATAGAGACTTTTCTTTGAAGGGACAGAGGAGTTCTGTTAGGTCACACATAAGCATGTGTAGAGAAAGAAAGTTTCTATGGCCAGGATTCTCGCCCAACCCTGGTCGGCTTGCTCACTGCACATGTGGGGACAACACGTTCTTATTGACTCTAAAGAGCTCTGCCTAGTGCTCTGGGCTGCAAGCTGCGGGAGAGCAGAGGCTGGAGTGGTGGCAGCACCAAGGACAGAGACTGAGAGGGCTGCGGGGGCAGAGAGGCCCAGAGGCAGAGACTGGCTTGCTGCGGGCAGACTTGCTCTGAGGTAGATGGGATTCCAGGGCTTGACCTGCCACCATGGGCATAAAGTTACCTATAATCCCTTTCACTCCAAGAACATCATATTGTCATTTTTCAGTCTTACTGAATCAAGAGTAAAGTTGCCTGGGGCTGAAACCCATTGGCAAGGCAGCATGTAATTAGAGAAGTACCTGGGAGGTGTGTTGGTCATAATTGTAGAGGGTCTGGGATCACAGTTTGTTTTAAAATGTGATTTCTATGGAACTTTCGAGCAGAGAAGTGACGCAAACACAACTTTGCATTAGGATGGTTAATCGGACAGTGATTGATGTGGATTGTAAAAGACTGGTACCAAGATGCATATGTGGACATAGGTGTAGGTAAGGATGTAAACTGGCAGATTCCTTAATTTCAAGGCTCTATTGGTGAGGGTCCAGCTGGGAAAACAGTAATCACACTAGATATTTCAAATGGAGGCGATTTAATACAAGGGAGTTTTACGATGCATTGGAAGACTTCAAGAATCAGAGAGGGAAGCAAGGGTAGCGGGAAGGATTTTAACTTTGCCTGGAAATGTCCCCTATATCTTGTGAGACTGACACAAAGATCTTAAACCCAAGAGGTGGCAGACTACATGGTAATAAGAGGTAAATTAAATGCTAATGAGATTAAGGGATGAGTAGACATAAAAGCTAACACATAGTTCCCAGGATGAGTCAAATGTTGTTTTAAGTGCTTTGCAGAGTATATAATTAAATCCTCCAAGCAACAGTATAAGAGAGGTCCTATTATTGTATGATTTGACCAATAGGGAAAACAAATTGCAGAGGATCAAGTGACAGTCTAAGATTGCCCAGTTTACCAAGATTACCAGTCCAAGATTTCCCACCCAGGAACTGTCAGAACAGGTATTCAAATATAGGATTCTGGGTTCTGGAGCCCAAGCTCATTATCACTGCACTCTACTGTTTTTTGGAGGAATGCAAGGTGCTTCTGATTGGGATATGGTGGGGTCATTAGCAGAATAGGACGGTCAAATGGTAGACTTTGTGGGTGGAGTGTGGAAGGGGGAGGGGTTTAATGGGTTGGGTTGTAGATGCTATCAAGTCAATAGTGGGCATCATTTAAGCATTCCTTCCTAAGGCCTTTAAAGAAACCCATTTAGTCATTCCAGGTTAATTCAGGGGAAGGGGTGAAAAACAAATGTAGCTATAAGTGCCATAATACTTATTTATATAACACCTGGTTGTAGGCGGGTTCTCAGTCTCCACTTTAAGATTGATGAAATTTCCAGAATGCAGTGAAGATGAAGGAAGGTCTCTGAGCAGTGAAGCAGAGCAGGAAAACAGAATGACTTTCTAGTTCTTTCTATGTCTTGTTCCCAAGAGTGTCAGTCATAGGAAGTGGAATGACAACTAAGGTCAAGGAAGTGAGCTATAGACATGGATGTCACTTCATTATGTTAAAATACCCCTCCTTTCATGAAGTAGGAAACATGTTATTTATAATGGCTATTTGCACACACTATTATTAGGTGATTGAGTTTTTAATTTCCTTTTCTTTTCTTTTCTTTTCCCCAGAAGTCCCATATGTCTGACTTCACATCAGAGATTGTAGTTTAGGGTGAAATTTCGGTGAGCTGTTTTTAGTCTTTTTCTTTTTGTTTTAAAATTCAAGATTCAAAATTTCTATCTTTTTAAGAGTTTGAGTTTTGAAGAAACCTGAAGAAATGCACTTAATTCTAAAATCCTAACATGATAGGTCTTCAGGAATAAAAATAAGGTAAGGTTCAGGGAGCTTTAAAGTTGAATTTTTTTTTTCTTACTACCTTCTTGTCTTGGTCAGAGAATTGTGAGAATATAGCCTTTAACTTTAGTTAGGCTTTCATGGTGTCTCCTCATTGATCACTTCCCTTTCTCCTTACAGATATTTCTTCTTCATGAGAGTAGTAGTTACTCTGTCGAGGACTATGTAAGAGTGATGAAGCCTTTGGGCTAGAGTTAGGTTCAAAGAGAAGGAACATGAAAACTTACTGGTATGGAGAATGTCGACTTCTTGGTCAGAGGGATGTTAGTCTGTTTACATAATATTTCCTTTCCACATTTGTTTGGTATTGCAGGTATGGTACCTAGCAATTGATGTCTAGGGCATGGAGAGGTTAATGAAGCAAGATAATTTGTAAGATCTTCTTCATGACTCACTGAGCACATGACTGGAAGGACGATGGTGTAGCTGTTCACCTAAAATAGAAGAGGTTGAATGGATGTCTTTCTATGTTTTAAGTGTATAGTAAATAAGGGGCTACCACTGTGAGAACCATTTGTTAAATATTCAGAAACGTTGTGAGCTGGTTGTTAAACTTTTGGTAGCTTGAAATTGACTATGGTGAGAATATTTATGCCTTAGAAATTGGCAAAAAGTGTAAGTGAGGCCTTTTCCTTCAGAGAGACTGTGTATCGGTATACCACTGCCTATTGCCATACCCAAGGAACACAGCAGTGCCCATCAAAACAGGCATTCTTGTTTTGCTAAGATGCAGAGATGAATTCAGAATCCTTCTGAACATACTGCTCCTGACCGCAACAACCAATAAATGGGACTGAGTGCACGAGACAAGCTGCATTTGCCCTCTCTGCCATACGTGAACTTTCATCGTTGTCCCTGGTATTAGGTGACAGTATCTGACATTGAGGAAGGTTGCTTTGGGTTTGAGACTTTTGCTGCTTTGTTTTAATGACTTTTCATTCAAAATATCTTTCACAAGGAAGCTACAATATACTAAGCTTTAGATTGCAGCTGATTAAGGCGTGATCAGAAATATGTGCTCAGAAACATTACTAATCTTCTCTCTATTGTTTCCTTGGTGTGTAGGTATGATACAAAGACACTAAACATGCGTTTGGATGTCTATTGATTGATTAATTCAATGAACATTTATTGAATCTCTTTATCTTTGTTATCTATATACAACAAGCCATCCAGAAAACTTAGTGGTTTAAAGCAACATGTATTATTGCTCAGGATTTCTGTGGGTCAGGAATCCCAGAGTGGCTGGGTTGGGTCATTCTGACTTAATGTTAAAACAGAAGTCACGTATCATCACTTCTTTGTCAGGAGGTTAAACTTAGATGTTGGCTAGGGTGGCAGTTGTTTGAAGGCTTGACTGAGGCTGAAGGATCTCCTTCTAAGGTTGTTCATCCACGTGGTTAGCAAATCTGTGCTGATAAAATGGTTCCTTCACACAGGGCCTCTCCACAGGATGGGCAGCGTGTCCTTAGATCATAGCGGCTGGCTTATGCCAGACCAGTAAGGATAATGGTCTGTGTCGGGAGTGTTGAGTTCTTCATTTTGGGAGGTGAGGCAGCAGAGCAGAGAGGCCTGTGTGCTGTCTGTCTGTCCACTGGCCCCAGGATGTTGCCCCCGGGTATTGCGCAACCAGCTTGCTCTCCTCATTTAAGCCTCTGAGGAAAGGTAACATCTTTGGAAAGAACTTTTCTCATGAACACCCATCCCTCTCTTTTCACACCCTACTCAGCAATATTTTTTTCATAGCATTTGTCACTATAGAATATCACATTACACACTCATCTGTTTCTTTTCTTTCTCCCTCATTAATATAGAAACTTCTTCAGGGTAGGAACCTCATATATTCCCAGTATTTAGAACAGCACCTGAAAATTAAATACTCTATGTGGAGTGATGAATAGGTATGAGTAGTGGTTCCATGGTTAGAGAGAGTCTTGAATCTGGGGTCTGGCTTTGCTGTTTGTTAGGTCAGTGGGCAAATTATAACTTCTGTGCACTTCAATGTTTTTAGCTAAAATATAGGGTTAAAAATACCTACCTCTTGGGGTTATTATAAAGATTTTTAAATGATGTAATATATATAATACCTAATATTGTGCTTGTAAATGGCAAGAATCTATAAAATGATAGCTTTTGCAGTTGTTCCTCTGATGATGTGTCCAAGCATGGAACAAAGGGCCGCTCATCAGGGATGTCATTGATAGGGAACACTGACGGGGCTTATCAGAGCCCTCTCTTTTATTATCTGTCTTCTTAGTTCTGTTTTTTTTTTTTTTTTCCTTGAAGGTCCTGAACAGACTGCAGAGTAAATACGGCTCCTTGTACAGAAGAGACAATGTCGTGCTGAGTGGCACTCACACACACTCCGGTCCAGCAGGATTCTTCCAGTATACTCTGTTTGTGATCGCCAGTGAAGGATTTAGCAATCGAACTTTTGAATACATCGTCAATGGCATTGTGAAGGTAGGCAAAGCCCCCCAAAGGTGGCTGATTTCCCCCCTTGCTGACAGCTGTTTTAGGAGTGGTTTGGTGTGATGTGGAGAGAGTCTTTATAGGATCTCAGTCTGAGCACAGTCTTACCACCTGCCTCACTTTTCCCTTTCTGACTCCTTCGTAGCTTCTGGTCCTGAGCTGTGGGCTCTTAGGCTTGAGGTGCTGATTGACTAGGGGAGGGGATTCTATGGCAGTAAGCCTCCTGTAGTTCTCTAAAGAGACAGAAAATGTTTTGTATGTAAACTGTATAAGTTATAGGGCCCCACATGGTCTGTTCTGCATACAAATTTACACAAAAAGAAACCTGCCAAGGAACCAATCTTTCCTTGTATTTTCCAAAGAGCATAAAGGAGAATCCAATTTATGAACACATGCCCTCATCTCTCAAGTCCTCTATTGCAGCTCTGGACCGACATGATATTCTGACCCACTTCCCTTGATCTCTCCCATTCCTGGTTTGGGTAACTTACTCCTCTCTCCACTGTATTGCAGCTTATTATTTTCTCACATAGGATCCTTGCTAATGGTCTCTTCATTCACTTGCCTTTCAGGTTTAGTCTCTTTCTACTTTTTCTCATAAAGTTACCCCTCAAATTTGGGGATCCATCTGGCAAAGGCAGAAATGTCTTTACAACAGTGTTTTTCAAATTGTGGATAACAGTCTGTGAATGGCTTTATGAAGTCAATTTCGTGGGTTGCAATAAGCATTAAAAAAGCAACTAAAGTAGATTGGAAAATACCTTAGTGCCTAACGCATGGTGAGGGTGTGGTTGGCTTTGAACCTTTTGTTTTAGAATATGTATATTAATGTGAATTAAATTATGATGGAAAATGTATTGCTTAGTGTGGTTTTCAGTCAAAAAGTTTAAAAAACTCTACCTTGGGGGTGAGATGGAAAGGGTGGGGAAGGTGGAATACCTACATGTTAACAAATCTTGCCCCAGTTTTGGAGCTGTCCTGAGAGATTCAGGCGCTCATCAGCCCCGTGCTTCCCTATACACAGCCCTTCCTCTGTCTCAGTTCTGAAGGCCATTTCTGTTTTTCCCTAGAATGACACCAGCCATGTGATTCTCCAGCTTTCATCTCATAGTGGAGACAGGTTGGAGACAAAGGAAATTGTCCACAATTGTCCTCAGCATATTGACTAAGTCCTTTTCCACACCAAAATTTCTAAATTTTCAATTTTTCTTTAAAATCACAGAGCATTGAGATAGCACACAGAAATATGAAACCAGGCAAAATCTTTATCAATAAAGGAAACGTGGATGGTGTACAGATCAACCGAAGCCCTTATTCTTACCTTCAAAATCCTCCAACAGAGAGAGCCAGGTGAGGGGGGATGTAATCAGAATGAAATCATGTGCTTCCTTTAGGAAACAGCCATCAGATCCATGAACAAGGTTGTTACTTGATGAATATTGCAGGATCCTAAAAGAATATGAAAGCTAAAATGATTTAAAACCATGTCATAATCAGAGATGAGCAGAATTAAAAAGTGAATGCAGAGACACACCAACCTATGTATTTATCTTGCCTCTTTGCAGGCTGTTGGAGTCAGTTTGAACGTTTGAAGGACTCTGGGCTTTGGAATCAGGCACAACTGTGGTCTCACTTTAGATTTATTACTTCCTAGCTGTGTGACCTTTAGTGATTTCTTTATCTCCATTCATTGGCTTTCAGCTCCTTCTTCTGAAAACTGGAGATAAAAATGTGCATAACATGTATTTGTTAAGTCAACAAATAGCTCTTCTTATTATGTTATTCAGAAGAAATCATCTTAGTCCTGAAGAATCTGGCCAGGGAAAGGAGATAAAAGAATAAAGAAATGGGAATGAAGAATAAGAAATGAAAGTAGCATAACTGAGTGGAACAACTAAGGGAAATATTATTTTGTCTTTTTTTAATTTTTAAGTGCTCTATCAGGTTTAAGACAGAAGAGAAGTACTTGGCTACTATGGCAGAGTGGAATAATAACTCAGTTTCAACTTGACCACTTGACATTTTAAATTTGACTGCATATTTTTCAATAGATTTCAAAGAAGCTGGTGTTTAGAAACTAATCTGATTTCTCTTGAAAGGACATAAAAGAACACTTTAAATTGTAAGTCATGAGTGTTTTAGATTTTGCGTATTCCCAGCTATTTTTAAGAGATTCTATTAAAATTTCATGTGAGTAGAAATTTCAAAGACAAATCCTTTTTGTAAGAAACACATATATACTACATAATAATATCAAATATGTTACATAAAGATGTATATTTCATCTCCATTTAGCTGACCTAAGGCCCCTAACTCTGATCACAGGTGCAAACCATTTCTTTATAAAGCCAAGGAAGGAGGCCCTGGATGCAGTCATAGGATTATATCATGTCAGGGAACCTCATCTACTGAAAGATGTTTTGTTTTTTTGTGTCAGTTTCTACTGTTTGTCATGTTTGGGCTCCAGGTTCTAACACAGAACTAACTGAGTTTCTTTGTTTTTCTGACCAGGTATTCTTCAAATACAGACAAGGAAATGGTAGTCTTGAAAATGGTAGATTTGAATGGAAGTGACCTGGGCCTTATCAGGTATTTAACTTTAAAAAAAAAAATTCTCTTTAGGTTAACTTACCTTAATTACTGGATTGGGATAGGGGAGAGACTAGTATAGTGGCAGCAAAGACTGAGAAATAGTTGAACGGTTAAAAGTCCAGATTTGGGAGTCAAACACATCTAAGATCCAGACATAGGCCTTGGGGTGAGGTTCTAAGCTTCCCAGGGCTTAGTTTCTCACCTGTAAAACAGGGCTATTTAAAGGATTACATAAATGAGTGATCTGAGTGATGAAGTTCAGAAGAGTGTCTGGCATGTGATATAAAGACTTAGTAAATGTTAATGTTCATTACTATATCAAAATATCATATATGGAACTTCCAGGATAATGGACAATTGCAGAGTCCAGTTCTGCGATCCCACCAAACATGAGAGGAGTGGGTGGGAGATGCAAGAAAAACCAGAGGTCAAAGTTGGGATCCAGAGGTCCACAGACCGCTGATGGCAGACCAGTGGTTCAGTTTTAATTCTTTGCCCAGCTTATGTACACAGGCTGACTTCCATGTGCTGCCCCCTATGTTTACTTCTGGCTTTTCTCAGAACTCTCTTCCTGTTGCCTTTTAAGCTCATAGCCTGCAGCTCTTTTTGTACTTCTTCTTCAGCTGGGATCAGGGCAGACAAGATGTTCCCTGAACTGTCTTGCAGGATGTGGGGCTTTGCCTCTCACACCTGGCTCTCCACAGACAATTCTCTCTTAGCAAAATGAGAAAATGAACTGAGCAACCATGCAAGTGATTATGGGTCTGAGTTTATGTACCTTAGTTTTTCCAAGAGGATTAAGGTAACTCTGATGTAGGACAATGCCAGTTAGTGATGAAAGTAGAATCGAGACCACCTAGAGGAAGCAGATGAGGTAAAATTACAGCTTGGCACAGATCTGAGTTCTGTTTTTATATAAGAAAACCTGTGGATTTTGTTTTCTTCAAAAAAAAAGCATTTGCATGTATATGGGCTTTTGGTTGCTACAATTAGACTGACTCAGGAATTGATGGGTAGGTAACAGTGCCAGACACTTTGACGTGTGAACTTCCAAGAGATGCAGAAATGCCACAAGAAAGTATGCGATAGTGTGTTAGGGCTGGAGTCCAGTGGGTTCCCTCGGAGCTCTCGTCATTTTTAGTGTGTGGCTTTGGCTAAGTTACTTAACTGCTCTGTGTCTCAGTTTTCTTACTGTAAAATTTGGAGATAAGATGAGTCCTTAAAATGTTGGTAATCAGTGTTAGTAATGGTGGTAGAGGTCTCCTAGGTAAAATTAAGAAATATCTAAGTAAAAGCTTTTTTTTTCTTCTATGTGAGTCAAATTAACAGCAAATTAAAAGTAGTAAGATGCAAAGAAAAACATGACAGACTCTAACTCACTCACCGTTCAGGTAGCAGAACTGGCCCTGGAGAACAGCATGATGGTGAGGAGTTCAGGGTTTAGGGTTTAGGTGTAAGTTTTAGGACTTGGGTTCAATCCCAGCCATGCTACTTACTAACCCTGTGGCCTGGGAAAAGTAACTTATCTACATATACCTCAACTATTCCATTTGAAATAGGAATAACAATACCTCATAGGGTTGTTTAAAGATTAAATGAGATAATGTGCATTAATCTCTAATCTGTGCCTGACATAACAAAGAATTTAAGAAGCAGAATAATATTCTACTTCTAAAAACTCTGTTATTCGCATATCAGAGTGCTTGAAATTCTTAGCACTGGAGTTACTTTTTTTGAGTTTAAAGTGAGGTCCCTCACTTTAAAACTCCCTGATTAAATAAACTTTTTTTATATGGGTTGATGTACTAGGACTCCTTCTTCCATTATAATTAATTTGTCTATTGATTAATTGCCATCTAACATCTAACTTAATAGACTTTCTAAATGTCAGAAATGCAATTCTGTGCTTGGGGTATGTTATGATGTATAAGGCATGGTTCCTATCTTCAAGGGTCTTGAAGGCTTGTGGGGTGATTGGGTCAGGACAGACAGACAGACACATATCATAATGTAAATCAGATGGCCATCAGTGCTATCACCTGAGCATAAATAAATGCTGTGGGAATTTGGAAGAGGTAGTACTGGGTTGTATGTGGGTGCATTGTGGAAGGCTTCAAAGAGAAAATGACATTTGAACTGGACTTGGGGAGCCATGGGATTTCTCTTGGACTCACGAGAAAGCAATGAGTTTTGAGGTCAGAGTCTGGGCTAGGTCAGGAACAAGTGAGAGAGGAATCTGAAAAGGTAAGCTGGCTCTGGATTGTGGAACACTTCTGTGGAGAATTCAGTTAGGAGATGGTCAAGGTAATAGCAGACATCAGTGACTAGACAGAATCTCAGATTTGTTGGGGGAAGAAAGTGGCTTTACCCTTATAGGTTGTACTTAACTTTAGGCTGATTGACTGAGACCATCCATGATTCCTTTAACTAGCTTCTGAATCATTTAACAATGCCAACAGAAAACTAAAAAATGCTATCATTTTTGGCAGGTATTCTCTGCTTCCTTGCATGTAACTATATTTATAGACACATATCTAGAAGTACTAGGGTCAACTGTCAAGGTTATAACAACTCTTTTCCATCTGCTGTGCTTAACACCCTGTGATAATTTTCTATTGTTTCTATAGCTGCCATATGTTCCCCTTGATGTAATTGATCCTGCAGTTGCTTCTTGTTGCATAGTGATAATTGCTCTTTGAGTACATTAAAAATGATCCAAACCATAAAGCCAAATCTGGGCTGCTAAGTAACTCAGCCACCATATGTAAGTGCCCGCTGTTACACAGAATCCCTAGGTATGAGTTGTTTGCAAGTACAGAATTTCTGATTTATGGAGCATGGAGATTATCTAGTTCAAACTTCAGCTGAGGCCCAGAAAGATTATGTGAGCTGCCTAATGTCACAGGCAAGATTATTCTCTTCACAGTGAAAACCATATTGAAGCTCATAATTTATTCCTTCCCCCTATCACTTTTGTTTTCATTTCTTCATTCAGTAAGTCTGCACTGGCCACCTACTATGTGCCATGCATGACTTCCCAGTCCTTGGAAGGATGAAATTCTTCTGGCTATGAAATCAGCAATGAAATATCTTAGAATAAATACCTGTGCCTGTGCTCCTTGAGCAAATCCCTTCAGCTCTCTGAGACTCACTTTGCACATTCCTCAAATGTAGATGTAACCTCATCTCTCCGCACAGAGATTATTATTAACTCATTCATTTATTAAATATTGTGGATTATATGTGTCATGAATTGAGACAGTACTCTAGATAACTGATGAGCAAAAATAGATGTAGTTGTTGTCATTATAGAATTTACAATTTACTGATGGAGACAAAAGGTATTCAACAGTCATACAAATACATGTATAATTATAATTGGGTTATGATACAAATACATACATATTTATAAGGTATGTACAGTTCTCTTAAAGGGATTTGACCTGGTCAGAGAGATTGGGGAAGGCATCCCTGAGGAAGTGACAGAACTAAAAACCAAAGAAAGGGTAAGAATTGTCTGGCCAAATAGGGGTGTGTGTGTGGAAAAGAACACTTAGCATTGATAGAGAAGCATGTGCAAAAGTCCAGTGGCTCATTTGAGGAGCTAATAGAAGGTCTGTGTGGCTGGAGTGCAGAGGACAGTGGGTCAGGGTGTTGTGAGTTAAAGTTTGAAGTAGAAATTTGATGCCATGATCAAGACTTTGGTTTTCATACCAAGGGAATTGGAAAACTATTAATATTTTAAGATAGGGCTGGTAACTGGAGCTCTCAAACGGTTAGGAAGAGTGGTGACTTGAGGAAGAAAATAGAATTATGTGCATGAAACTATTCCACAAATCATTAAGTCCTCTTCAGTTGTAGGCCAGCATTTGCTTCTTTTGATTCAGGCCAGCATTTGCTTCTGTTGATTTATCTATGTAAGGAAAATACTTCTGTCTTTTTGCCTGACACTCCCCTTTGCAGAAATACTAAATGATTTTTCTCCAAATGTAGAGAACATGTTTGGGATATTCTGAATTATGAATCAAAATGTAAGATGTGTAGCATTCACAAATTTCACTTTGGGCGACTCTGGAAAGTACCTTACAGAAGGAGTCTGTCATCCATGGAAAAGACAACACTGAGTCTTGAGAGAGATTCTAATGTGTATGAAGACACCATATGTATGAAAAAACTATGAAAGGAGAAAACAAAACAGACGTTTCAAACGTTTGCACCAAAAGGAAAGTCATGGAGATGGGTAGACAGTCTGAATGGCAGCTCTAGTGGATAGGGCTCTAGACTGTAACTTCTTACACAGTTGCAGAGGGCAGGTGGCCCTGAGAGTGGCAGCTGGGGAGGCTGGCTCACTTCTTCAAGCGTGGTACAACAGGGTAAGCTGTCTCACTTCTCTTCCCTTCTCCTGTCTTTCTGCTTCTGCTAAGTTCTCTTCTTTCTTTGCAGAAGTGGCATGGATCTTTTTTTCTCACCTTGTCATTCTCTAGGAGTTGACACAGCACAGTTCATATTTGTCAGAAGTGTAAGGAAGGTCTGAGCAGGTTTCTGAATGATCCTTCTATTGCCTTCTATATATATCGCAAATTCTTTTGTTTTTACAGAAGGTACTTATGTAAGAGGGTTCTTTCAAGGCATTTTAAAAAACAAGAACAATGATTTGTTCAACCTATTTGAATAGTTTGTATATACACTCAGAGCAGTCTAATTTTTGAAATTAAAAATTTACATGAAAGATAATGGCTTACAGAATTCATTTGTGGTGTATGTGTTTAAATTGTCTTTACCATCTATGATGATGAGGTCTTGAATTACAATGTCTGATAATCTATTCTCTATGTCTCTTTATTCTACCCTCTACATCATCCCTCTGTCTAATTAACCCCATTCAGATAGCAAATGCAGAAAACTCAGTGTCTGTCTTCACTAACCATTCTTCTCTTTTCTCAGTCTCATCCCATCTTTGTCCTTATAAACACCTCCCCATTAGCATAAACTGGTGT